ATTTGGTTAAAATATTTAATTACTTGATAGGGTTATTTTTTTCATCCACAAATAGTTGTAATTTGAAAAACTGAATAGTAATAAGACCTGGAATTCGCTGTTCCTAAATTACTCACTTTATTAAAAACTCTTAATGATTTTGCTATTATTGATTTAAAAAATTTAATTGTGGAATTAGCATCATCTAACTTTTAATTTTAGTAGATTTGATTATGGCTTGTCAATTTTGGTAGGGCTAAGCATAGTCAGATTCATATTCTCTTGAGTGATTCTCTTATAGGGTTCATAGAAGATTAGATTTGTAATTGCTGATGGGGTATCATTTCTGATTGCTCTGTTAACACTGTAGACAACTAATACTGTAGACAACGTTTAGCCATGAGATTCAGTGGAAGGAACATTGGACTAGATATACCTGGACCGGAATCTCTGCCCTGCCATTTGCTAGATATATGACTTTGAGCAAGCTGCTTACTCTCTGAGCCAACTTTTCCTCATCTGTAAAATGAGGACAAGAATTCTTGTTTCCCAAGGTTTTTTGTGAGTTTTAATTAAGAGTTTAAACATGTAAAGTAGCCAGAGTAGTAGGTGATCACCATGGAGGTGATCAGTAGTAGGTGATCAATAAGATATAGCTGTTACTTTACCAGCAATATTAATCTTATGTTAACCTTAAAAATTCTTGTTGATTTTAAAGTAAAAAACAATTTACTGATTTAAGTATGGTGAGAAAATTATGTAGGTTGTGAAGATGTTTGCTTTTGAAGAATTGGACAAGTAGTACTTAATTTATATATTCATGCTAATGTTTCTTACAGGGTTTAGTTTATTACTTGATGTATTTTGTGCTCTACATGGACCGAGAGAAAAATGTGTTGAAATTCTGAAGAGTGGTCACTTGTTAGCTATTTCACCAGGTGGAGTTCGAGAAGCCCTAATTAGTGATGAAACCTACAACATCATATGGGGTAATCGTAAAGGCTTCGCTCAGGTTGCAATTGATGCAAAAGTGGTGAGTTGTATCAAACTAATTACTAAAGTAAAAGCTAGGTTGAAATTATAAATGCTTAAATAGTGAGCCAAAGTATATAAGAATTTAGATACTGTCATTGCAGTACTTTAAACATTAGTGTACATAACTCTTACAAGATTACAATACAGAAAAGTTCCTTATGGATGAGAAGCCATCTAAAAAAAATCAGTCTGGAAATTTGGCAAATATCCAGCAAAATTTTATTTTACATTTCAAAATCTGGCTTCTTTTAATCAGATTTAAAAAATTCTTTGTATTCCTTCGGTTATACTTTTAAAAATAAGTAATAATCAGTCTACTTCTATGTATTTTAACCCTTTTCTACTATTGAGTTGGCCTATTTTAATGATGGTTGTTAGTTGGTTTCATTGCAATTCTTTTATCTGTGACCAATTTATATAAAATAGGACTCAAATAATATATGACTTCTATCATTTTTCATCAGCAAATGTGATCAGCTATCTAATAGTATGAATTAAGGAGAGAAATATATATTGGCATAATTTAGATCTTTTAAAAAGAGTTTACAAATGAATTTGTTAATAAAATTGTATGTTCATGTGGGATTCACTGTAATTATTGTAGTTCGGAGACTGAAGAACGTGAATGCCATTTTATCCTTTTCTTTGACTTTGGAAAGTATTTCTCATCTTTTTGGTCTCCATGTTGTACTGTATCCTTTGAAACACTTATTTATTACTTATGGCATGTTTCTTCTTTGTTTTCTTTTTGTTTGCGTTTTAGATTGTCTATCAGGAAAGGAAACCGTAATACCTTTGACAAGGTGGTTTTCTTTTCCGGGCCAATTAGAGACAGCTGCCAGTACTTTGACCTTTCAGTTTTTTTGTGTGCCATTGCTGCCACATACAGAGACCAGTCTGCACCCTTAGCTTGCCTGTTCATCTCGCAAATACAGACTGATGATTAAAAAGGAAAAGATGATGGATGATTCACTCTAACCCAAGACCAGTTTTTGAAGAAGAATGGAAATTTTCTCTTAATTGTTTAATTGCAGAGTTACAATAAAGTAAAATGCAGAGCTCTAGTCTCTCCTGTATGTATATGTAACTCCCAGAAGTAAGTTACTGCTGTAATACTTTAATACGGTGGTCCTAGTGTAAGTTAAGGTACTTGCCCAAGTGCTTGATAATAGACAACATAAAACTTTAAACACTACGTCCTACAGTAGATTATAAACTCTGAGGACAGGGCAGTCTTTTTATATTCTGAGTCCCTTGTACAATGACTAGCACTTAGTAGGCTATTTGTATTTATTGAATTAAATTGATTTTTTTAACACAATGTAAAACACTACTAGAAAGGAGCCTTTTGAATTTAATTTTATGTTACTAGTATTAGTGATATAGAAAATTAATTTATGCACATTTTATTTTCCAAAAAGTCTTAAGTACTAATGTAGAAAACAAAACCTTGGACTATATTAATAATATGGAATAAAAAAGTGTATATGCACAATTGTTCAAAAATTAAGGATAATCAATATAATGTATATTAAAGCAATGATAAAAGCTAAAATCTAATCAAAATTAGTTCAGTTTTCAAAAATATTTTGAAAGAATTTATCTTCTAAGGCTTAAGACAAAAATGACAAATATAGATTTGGAATTACATAAATTGATCATGGGATTCTAATTCCTCATCCTTAAGTTTACAGTTTTAAGGAACATCACCTGGAAGAAGGCCTGAAAGAAATTACAGAGAGAAAGGAACTCTTCTTCCATTCCTTGAAACGTTTTCTAGATAATTAAGATAATCTAGATAATTTAGTTAAGGTTTTTTTCCAAAACTTGAGAAAATTTAATATACAGCCTTTTACAAGTTTATAAACAAACAAAAATCTTTAACATTGCTGATTTACAAAATAGCATTATGAATTTAATAAATCTTGTAGCACCTCAACCTTTTGTAGTCTTTTAAAGGCTTTATGTTGCTACTCATGTACAGTAAGTAGGTGACATATGCAATTATTCCAATGTTGCAGATGAGGACACTCAGGCACAGAGAGATGAAGGGATGGAGGGATCGGGTCATACAGCAAGGCAGAAGCAGAGCAGAGCACACAGTTCAGGACTGCAGGCAACTGGTGCTGTTGCCATCATTGACTACATTTCACAGTGAGTCTGCTGACCTTGAGATTAGAGGGGCCTTCTAGACACTTGAGGGAAAGCTTTCAGTCAGTATGGATATAGTTGTAAATGGCTCAAGTATCCCATCTGGAAAACCACTTTATAGGCCNGCCCAAGTTGGCACCATCATTGCGCTCTTCCCGGGTGAGGCAGATCAGTCGCCGGCTTCTGGACGGCCGCTCATGCTGGCCGCTCACGCTGGCTGCTGGCTACACACGGTAGCCCATGGCAACCCACTGCAGCAGAGGCTGCAGCCTATGCCATCGCCGGCGACTCATGGCAGCCCAGCTCCTGGTTGAGCTGTTGTTCACCATCTTAGCTATAGAGGGTGCAGCGTCGCTGGCCAATGTGGGATCCAACTCACGCTCCCAAGCCAACTCTTAACCAACCAGCCACTTGGCCAGCCCCACATTATTCTTAATATGTAAACTTATTTGATCAATTCCCTGTTAGTAACCAATCTCTCATCACTGCCACCATCCTCTACCACTCATGGATAGCATCTCATCCCGCTTGGGCTGTGATACCCTGTACCAGGCCACTTCCGTGTCTGAATGTCATTCTCATTTCACGCAGGCTCTAACCCCTATGCCACACTCACAGCTCCTCTTCTTTTCCCACTCAGTCCCCAGTACCCTGTTCTAGGCTCTTCTGTGTGGATGCTCTCATGACTGCTTGGACTTTGTCTCCCCACTCTGGGCCACCTGTGTGGAACTTACCCCACTCAGCCTGGGCTCCAGCACTCACTCCAGGACCCTCCCCCCCCCACACAGGTGTCTACTTCGCGGTCGCCCACTTATGGCTGTGGACTGATTGGTTAAAGGAGGGAAGGAAGGGAAACAGGAAGGCTCATGCACGTCTAAAAGAAAAGACTGAATTCCTGAGTTAGTAACCATCCTTTAGTAGAAATAACTAATAAATATATTTTAAGTATTATTTGTATTTTGTCTTTCTAACAGGTTATGAAGTTCATGGAATGGAAAAAATACCAGAAGAAGGACCAGCACTTATAATTTTTTATCATGGAGCTATTCCTATAGATTTTTACTACTTCATGGCTAAAATTTTTATCAATAAAGGCAGAACTTGCCGTGTAGTAGCTGATCACTTTGTCTTTAAAATTCCAGGTAAACTTTCACTGTAGATAGTGATATAAAAAATATTTAACACAATCAATTTATGTGATAGTCTATACTTTTGAGCTCTACTATCATTTGGAAAAGCTTTTTGCCTTTTTAGATAACACACTTGGAACTCCAATTTGGGAGCATCTAATTATCCTGTTTAGGTAATATATCTAAATATAAAAGCCTTATGGTGAAAATTTTATCTAATTTCTTTCTTCATTAACACATATTTAGTCATTATTTTTCAAAGTTAAATCCTGAATATTCACTTTTAAAAAATAAATTATAACTTTTGCCAAAAATTAATTTATATTTTAGTATAAAAAGTCTTGTCTCTTATCATACTTGACTTGCCTGATAGACTTATAACTCTTTAAGATTGAGGACTGTACTCTTTTTAATCTGTTTATAAAGGCTTTGTACCTTTTAAAAAAGATTAATTAACCAAATGGTTTCAAACACGATAGAGTTTTAAAAAAATAATTCTAAAATAAACTTACTGAGATTAAATCTTGTTTTCTTCTGTCACTAAGTCACCAGAAACAAGCCAAAAAGTTTAGCTTGTTCTCTGGAATAATAAAAACAAAAGCCACTCTTCAACCAGACAAACACCAACCAGTGAATTAAATAATGTAATCAGTGACTTTCATAGACATGGTTAATGTTTTGGATCTCCTAATGTCACTAAAAAGTCATTTGTACTTTGGGTGTAAACTAAATTGGCTGTGAAAGGTTTTTTTTTAGAAAGTGATCGCTTCATAATACATTTGGAAACTAGAGAAAAAAAGAACATCTTTATAACCTTACCACCTTAATATAACCAGTCAGCTTTTTGATTTATTTTATTTCATTTTTAATTGGCATATTTTCACATTATGCAAACCATTTTGATCCTTTTTTAAAAATTAATGTTAACATTAATATTTTACCATGTTTTATGAAGAATAGTGTTTTTTAAAAT